CCTCATTTATAATTGCTCACAACATGGACGCTGTTAACTGTTTATGGACAACTCCTAAGCAAACATTAAACAAGTATTATTGCTAGCCTAGAAATACAGAATACTGTTAAAATAAGAAAATTTGTTAGCTATTTTAAATGATAATATTCACTTTTATGAAAGTTCTTAGAATGACTAAAAATAAATCAAGATTTAAATTCACCAACTGCACAGACTGAAAATCTGTATGAGTGAGACTTGTTACTTTGAATTTCCATTTTTAATCTTCAGATTTCTGAATTATAATATAATATTAGCAGGAGAGGCTATGGGATTTACATAAATTTAGATTAAAATTCCACTGTTAACGAACAACTTGGTAATAACAATGATAATGAGGATAACTTGAGTTTCCTCATTGGTAAATTTATCATTTACATTACAGAAAGGTTTTAAGGTATAAATTCATATAAAAATGCAGCATGTTTATTATACTACTACTATTGATATCCCACTACATGTTAACTTTTAAAAAGTTTTAAATGATGCATATTTATTTATTTATTTATTTATTTATTTTTGGTTTTTCGAGACAGGGTTTCTCTGTGTAGCTTTGCGCCTTTCCTGGGACTCACTTGGTAGTCCAGGCTGGCCTCGAACTCACAGAGATCCGCCTGCCTCTGCCTCCCAAGTGCAGGGATTAAAGGCGTGCGCCACCACCGCCCGGCTGATGCATTTTTATTACATGCACACTGGTGTTCTCCCCGCTTGCACGTCTGTGTAATGATGTCAGAACCCCAGAACTGGAGCTACAGATGGCTGTGAGCTGCCATGTGGGTATTGAACCCGGGTCCTCTGGAAGGGCAGGCAGTGCTCTTAACTGCTGAGCCATCTCTCTCTAGCTCCACATGTTCACTTTTAATAGTTACTACTACATACCAAATACATTTCTGATTTGCATGTTTATTTAATTCTAATAATTTCATGTTACAGATAAAAAAAAAAAGGCTTTACAAAAAGCCCGTGAGTAACTTAACCAAAATGACTCTAGAAGTATGCTGCAAAGTCAATATTCAGAAAGCCAAGAAGGCAACAGTCCCTCTTCTTCTTTAAGGACTAAGTTCATTTTGCAAACAAGCAGTTTTGTAATATAAATGGGGAAAAAATGTGAAAAATTCTCTAGCAGTTCCCAATCTGTGGCTGAAATTCTTCCTACTCTATTTATATATATAGTAAGGTTGGAAGCATCCCTAACAGGTTGAATAACTACTTCCAAAATAAATGCATGTAATAACTATTCTCCAAATACTCACTATACTAAATATGAAGATATCATTTCTTTCTATGTTGACATTTTGTTTTTGAGATATTGTCTAAATATATTGTACCACATGACTGGCTTGGAGAACCTTGTTTAGAGACTGTGTAAGCTGTAATGCTATTATGCGGCCAGATTAGTACTTGAATTTAGTGGGTAACAGTACAGATCCTATATTCAACACACACTGCTACAATCCAGAATGGTTGCTCTGAGTAGTTAGCTTCTCCAGCAAGCAAAGAAACACACTGGCACACTGATGAGACAGCCAACATTCTTCAAATTGTCTCCCGAGTCTATCTGTGAGGCTTATTCTATTCTAGTTTTATAAAGGGGAAGTGGAATCATGCCTTTCTAAGTTGATCTCCATGTAAAGAAAACTGTCAGAGTGTCATTCAAATAGGAAGTATAGTTCTTTCCTTTTCTTTTTTAAAAGCTCTGCAAGTATTGCCAGGTACACTATTACCTTCATATAATGTGTCAAGATACATAGCTAAAAATACCTTGAATATCATCTATAAATATATTAAATATTAAATGATTAAACTTCAAGGAAAATAATAAGATTATCAACCCAAATAGTTATGGTACTACACATCTATTGTTCTTCTAGTATCATCTAAGAGATGAAATCTGTCAAGAGCCATTCTGAAGCGACTGGAAAGAACTATCTATGCTGATTAATTCTCTACCTATAGCTCACATACTCAAAACATTTTTCTTCCTGGCCACAATCTGGTAAGTATTATCCTAAGTATTATCCTAAGTCTATACATAAACTTAACGTGCTATTTTTTTCATCTTTTTCCTAGACAATTTCCCCTGATATCTGCATCAATTCAAGGCTCAGAACACAATGTTCTCCTACAAATGATCACTAACTACTCAGAATCAAACATGCTATGTTAGAATCTTCTCCTGTAACTATTTCATTACATACATAGTTGAATTTATCAGTATATTTCAGGATGAATAATAAGTAGGATGTACCGTGAACTTCATTAATATTTTTAAATTTTAAACAGATATTCATTTGTTACATCCTAATTTCATAATGTATGAATGAGGACTAAAATTGATAGATACTGAAGTCCAAATATGTCAATCCTCAAATCTCATGCTTCTGAGTGCTTTAAGAGTGACTGTGATGGCCGTTGTTCTTGGCCAGCAGGCCAAAGGAGACAGGTGTGTTATCCAGCAGTTTCATACCTCTTCTATGTATCATGCGGAATTTATAAACAATTCAAAAGGACTACGGATCACCTGACTGCTTTTCTAGGACCTATTTTCCTCTAGCTATATTTCATCATCTGCTTGACTATGTAATTTGCCCTATGCGCTTCTTTGTAAGGCTACTACTCCTAAAAATATTTAGCATTCACAAAAAATAACTGTTGAAGGTGACTGCTACAATACCTTATAAAATTAACATTAAATAGAATAAAAAGCATGATCAGTGTTAATTTGAATAGAAACCCTTAATAATAATAAAAATATTTTACACTTGTAAGCCACTTAGCACTAAAATGGCTTAAAATGATTAAGGTAAGATCACTTTTACATAGAAAGTATAAAAAGTATAGTGTTCTATAATAGGAAGCCTATAAGAAGTATCTGCATTATAAATACTTACTTGTAAACTGGAAATAACTCATGTCTTTTGAAGGCACTGTCTGACTTTGTATCATTGTCATACAACCTTTGCACATGTCTTCCAGTTCGGAGTGGAGGGCCTAACTTGTCCATCTTACTATCAAAATATATAAAGGTGTACCCATAAGGAGATTGCTACTGGTTGCTTGCCTCTAAAGAATTATGTAGACATAAGGATTATTGTTCTTCAGAAAAAGACATTCTGGTTCACTAGACATGTACCCTCTTCCCTTAAATGACTGCCTGCCAGGATGAAGGCACATGTCACAGATTTCTGAGTTCACCACGTGTCCATCATTAGACTGTAAGCTCTGACCACTTAGGCCACCCTGCCTGTTTCCACGCAGCATCAGTGCTACATCTACCAGAGTGGAGAACAAATCAGGAAACAACGGTCTGTGTGAAGCCAGATGTGAACTCCAAGCTGTTAGTCACAGATAACACAATTTTCATTTTCCCTGAAATGGAAGAACCTTTCTTCTCTATTATTTTACTTTATGATTGTCCCTGAATTTGAAAGATATAATTGAATATGGAATGCTTACATATTTACCTTATCTCACTTTCCAATATGGAATGAGTTTGTTTCTGAAATATATGTAGTAAAAAGGCAAAACATGATGTATACTTTAAAAGACATGGTCATTCTAAATATCACAGGCAAAAGCTTAAACAACCACACCATTGTGAAACCTTTTAAACCTAAAGCATACAATATCTCCATCTAGTGGATACTAGTGCTAACTGCAGGTTTATAGGACACTTAATTGTTTTACATTAGCTATACAGTCAAATCACATATAATCACCAACAAATATCCACTCATGGAAGAGAACAGGAAAATTAGCAAATTAGAAAAATTATCTCAAATGATTGGTAAAAAAACATGCCATCTTTAACATTAAATATATTCTTGAGCTAGTGTGGAAGAGCATGCCTTTAATTCCAACACTCCAGAGGCAGAGGATGACTACCATGAGTTCAAGCTCAGCCTAGTCTTCAAGAGTTCTAAGCCAGTCAAAACTACACAGTAAGATTCTGTCTCATATATATGAACATACATATTCCTTTAAAGAGATATCTGCTCACTCACTTTTTATTTTTTACTCATTTAACTCAGTAAGCCCTAAAGACATATATGGTGTTGTCAGACGCTGCTAACTTGAGCGAACAGAGCAGTAAACCAAGAGCTGATGCTTGTTCTTAAAGAGGTTAGTATCAAAAAAGGATCTGTTCCTCTTTCCAGAATGTAAGGGTCTCTCAGGAGCAATGTTAAGTCATTTTGATGTTACTGTCTATTCATCAAAGTTGGTGGCAACAGTATGCACACAGTAGTATGCGCATTACAAACAACCTTCAGTAAATGTCTTAAACACACTTCTACAAGTCTTTGAGATTAAAATTTACCTTTAATTTAAAAGACTATAAGACAATCCAATGACTTCAAATTCTAATTGGTCATTTTTATGCTTTGAGTTGTTAAATGTTAAATAATTGTCAAAGCAATACTGTCATAGACACTGTCTGTAAAAAGGCATCTGTGACTTATGAATAAGGAATGAAATCTGTCTCAGAGAAAGAGTTACTAAATTTAGATGTAAGAAAACTTCAGCTGACCACACTTAAGGCCCTGG